GGACAGTTTATTGAGTACGAGAGAACTCGAGTGAAGGATGAAGCTTTTACCATTCTCCAACAAATGGCTAAACTTGATGATGAGATGGAAAAGAAAGGTGCCGGAGAAGGACTGGATCCTACCATTTCCAAGCACTACATTGAAGAACAAATCAAGGTATTTGGCTCACCTTTCTTGTAATAGACTGATTTTTCTCTGTAAATTTTAGTTAATGAAAAGAAACTCATGTGTCTTACTAGACGCTAACAAAGAACAAGAATCAACCGCTTCATGCTTCAGTAATCAACTAATACTATTGTGAGTCAAACTAACCTTAAGAATAGAACAACCCTAACAAATCTATATTTATATAATTGCTTGCAAACAATTTAATAAAACCTCAAAACTTTTCCTCCAAAAAAGACATTGGCGATAAACAACTTTTTCCTCAGCTTTTAGCTTTTTGAAGGCATTTTAGCTGTTTGACCATATCTAAAAAGCTAAATATGATGTTTGGTAAAATAGCCGTTTCTAATAGCTTTTTGGATGAAAAAGCTAATTTTGAAAACGCTGCATGTATCAGCGTTTCAATATAGCTGTTGAAAAAATAACTCCACTTTCAATTTTGATGTCTAATTAATTTTCAAGAAGAGTTACCTAATTGGTGGTTGATTGATACACACGTCCATAAATTACGAGTCTTACAAGCAGGCATCTTTTATTTGATGCTTAAATTATAGTGGGCTATGTTATTGTTTTGTATATATTAAAAATAAAATTAATTTATATTTTCAAAATGAATATATGTAGCATAAAAAGTATCAAAATATATAAATATTCTAATGAATAGTTTTACACATTAACATATGATATTAAAATGCATAATTACCAAACACTTTTTTACAAACATTTAATATATTATTTGAATTACTTTACATAATATTAGTAATATAATTATTACTCATATACTCATATTCTAAGTAATTTTAACATAAGCAAGATGATGATTAAACATATGAATGTCCTTATAAACAATTTTACAAATTAACAGCTAATTATAAACTACTAATTTTACCAAACAGTATTTTACAAACCGTTAATATAATCTACTGGTTAAAACAGCCGACACAATCCGCTAATATCTAAAAGCTAACCGTTGATGTTAAACAAGGCCATTACAAATCTATATTATTAATATTTTTTTCTTTTAAGTAAAAATTGTAACTGCTCACTATTCAATCATTTTTTATTATGGAAAATTCGTGTTGAATATTGATTTCTATTGCATTATGCTACTATATTTGTACTCTTTTTTCAATAAAACTTGTTACTATATCATATTTTAATGACAATTTAAATTTTATTTTATTTTCTCTGCATGATTTTGAAATTATTTGTTTGTTAAATGATGCCACCGATTTAATTTTTCTCTCCGATTGCTCATTTTTGTTATGAAAAGTTGAAAAGGAATTGAACAATAATGTTACATATTGAGGAAATATAAAAAAAAAAAATCTTCATTCCTCTCTTCCAATGAAAAATTAACTGAAAATATAATTATATATAATTGATCGATATATAATATAATAAGATTTATAATCTGCTAATTAATTGCATCAGATTTACCAATCTGACAATTAATATAATGCATAATCCGCCAATTAATTAAATTCCAACATAATTCATCCCATAAAAACCAGTCTTCTTAATATTCATTGTGTAATGCTAGCAAAATATTTAATAAAACTATTTTGGTTTCCCGCTTTTTTACGTTACAATCCAATAATTTTTTATATAAAATTGTAACTGAAATCTAACACGTATTTTTTTATTTTGGAAAATGAGATTGTTTGACATTGTGTATTCTAATATTTTTTTACTTCTTTTTGTGAAATCATATATTAGCAAATTAATGCACCATTAATTATTCATTTAGTAGATTTTTAATTGTTCACTCTCGTTTTTTTGTCATGAATATGGAAATCTGTAAAAGAACTACAAGCTAATATTATAGATTACAAACCAAATACAAAATCGAATTATGCCAATTAATTTTAGTAAAATCTTCAATAATCTCTTCTTGTAGAAAATGATAATTTCAGTTACACATAATAATAATAATAATAATAATAATAATAATAATAATAATAATAATAATAATTTTCAATCAATTAATTGGTTACAATCTCTAAAAAATATAAAAATTATATTATTATAATAAATATAGTGATTCTTAAGTAAGTTATTCAATTTATATTTATATTGTTCATTATTTACTAATTGTTAAAATTTCAAAATGTGACATGTTCATTATCTAATTTATAACTTTAAATATTATGTACACACATATAATTTATAAGATTTTATTTGCATCTGTGTCGATTACTAGTTGGGAAAAAAAAAAGCAACTTACTATACGCACAAAATAAAACAAATATCTGATCGATTTGGTGAGGCTGCATTGCATTTCTAATACATATTATATATAATATGTTATAGCTGCTGATGGAATTGCCGGTCGGGGAAGTGTACCAAGAAGCTATAAAGATTATTCCTCTAGCTGTATCTCTTCCATACAAGCGGCTGTTGGTGGATAAAGCTTTTACGTTTATCTCTGGGACATGTCGTGACATAATTCGGGAAAGAGATTATTTCTGGCGACACTATCACAAGGTATGTGCATGCTTTAGTAAAACCAAATATGTTATTTGTTCTGTGTGCATGCTTAAGAGTTCAAAATAAATATCTTGTGAAGTGACATTTCACTAATTCTAACTTCTACAATTAATTTCATTAGCGGCCTTCCTCGGGTGTGAGCAACGAACACGTGTCAAATGGTTTGAATCAAACCTTACATTCACTACTTCAAAAGGTGTGTTGAATTAAAATGTACGGTTATCAAATTTTTTATTAGTATCACTGATTTTATATATACGTATATATCAAATGATTCTTGATGAATAGGTACAAGACTTCAAGGGTCATTGGGGAGAGAAGTATGCTCCCATAATTGGCGACGGATAGATCTGGCCTTGAAGCATTTTGGATGTTAGCTGAAGTATTATTGAAGATGCAAAATAAAGTTTCATGATGGTTGGACTTCTACTTTGCACTTTGAACTTTATATGTTTGAATTTGAACTCATTCAAGAATGTTGAACACGTAGGCTAATTCATTCAAGAATGTTGAACACGTAGGCTAATTCATTCAAGAATGTTGAACATGTAGGCTTTTAATGGGTTTATATTTATATGTTTTGAACTCATTCAAGAATGTTGGACATGTAGGCTTTGAATGTTTATATCTGGTGATTTTGTGTAAGGGAAGCATGTAAAGATTTTACTAAGGTCGTGTTTGGCATATTGCTCAAAANACTTGGATTAATTTTGAAAAAGTTGGTGTGATTAGTCGTTAGTGAAATTTTGAGTTTATATTAATATAATATTTAAAATAAAATAATTAAAATTGATTTAATGTAAAAGTAGAAGAGAGATAATGTGAAGTGATGGTTAGTTAAAATTAAAATTATATGAGCGGATTAATAGTGAATTAAAGTTGATAAAATGTGTAAGAATGATTGAAAATATTAAGAATAGTGGAATTGAGTTAGATTTTTGTGTTTAGATTGGAGTATGAATTGAAAAAAGTGATAAATAAACACCCTCTAAACTTCAAGGGATTTTCAAGACTTGCATAAAAACCACTTTATAACCACAATTAGTTCCTATAAAGTCCAATCATTTCTTTCTTGAACAAATAAAAGCAAAGAAAAAAGAAATAAGAATACATCTCATTAGATCGAATTGATCCAACTAACTTAAAAAATAAAATTTTACACCACACCCAAATAGTTGGGCCACACTCCAATTAACACGCTGCAATTAAACCACCCCACCCGATTAACATGCTTGCAATTAAACCACCTATCAAAAGTAATTTATTAGTGGGCCCCACATCCTTATACACCAAACTCATCCCTGTAAATTTTTCTCTCTCACCTGCGTGAACAGTCCGTCGCCTTCTCCCCGCAGGCGGCGATTATCTCCCTCGATGGCGTGTAAGATTTATGCCATGCCTGACCGACGGCTTAGGACCAGTCGAACGTCCTCCATGTACTGCCTCCCTGCCGGAATTGGTGAAGCTCCGAATCAACGCCATTAAAATCGCCGTCTCTGGCATCCACTCCACCGCAAAGCTCCGGCGCACGTCGACATCGGAAAAAACAACATTCAAGCTTGACTGCCCTTAATGNTAAAAAAAAAAAAAGAAAAATAAAAGCACCATCTCGGCATCTCCATTGACGTCGGATCTCTTGTCATGACCGGAAATTTACACGGCGAAGGCGAACGGTCTTCGCCGCCTCAGACAGAGTCGCGGACGGAGGAGAGTGACGCGCGGACAGGGTGGTGGGTAGAAGAAGAACAATTTGGGATGGGGGCATTTTTTTGAAAATTAGATGATTTTCAAGGACTTAGTTGTAATTAAATAAATTTTAATTATATTTCAATTAGGTTTATGTGCCAAATTTATAATTTATAGAAAGTTTAGTAAATGCATATTAATCATAAATACTATGGACAATATATTGTTTATATTCGCATTAAATATAATTGTGATGCGAGTGCACAATAGTGTTATACGAAAGACACATTAACGATTAATACACTACACAATATTAAACGACACCGACTAAACAAATTTTTTTATTCAAATTTTTATATATTGATTCTATTATTTGTTTAAATTTTAAAAATTTAGGTATCTCAGTTTGATGCTGGCTTTATTTTTAAAATAATAAAACTAATTGAACTATACAAAAAATAATATTTTTTATATATATTTGAAATTTTCAACCAAAACATAATATAAAATGTAAAATGGAGAATTTGTGGGACCACCTTTTGTAAAACAACAATTACTTGTAAATGAAAAACAACAATTACTTGTAAACGAAAAATAAGACAACATCAAATACCAAATTCAAATAACACATAAGTCAAATAATATGATGAAGAAAAACAGTTCAAGTCACACAAATGAGTAAAAAAAAAAAAAAAAAAAAAAAAAAGACAAATCCATTTCTCATAATTTCAAAGTAGCAGGCAAGCCAAATAGTTCAAGTGAAATAGTTAAATGCAGGCCAAACAACATCAGCCCTAATTGTCATCATCTTCCATCCACCTTTGTAGAAGTGCAAGCCGATTTTCTCCCAGTTCCAGTCCAAGGAACGTGTACAGGTTCCACGGGTCACGAAACTTCCTCCAAGCTAACTTTCAAACCGCCATGGGGACATTAGGCAAGGACTCCAGCTTAATCATGTTATATCTACGCCATGATATCAATCAGGTGGTTTAGAACCTTCAAAGCTTGTTGGAGGCTCTCTTGATCCTTTTCTGGATGTGCATTCTGCTAGATTATGCGGCTTGCTTCAGTAATAGAATTCATGGCCGTGTCAAAGGTGGAAGTGGTCCCTCTACGGCGACGAGTGCACCGATCACTGGCTGGGGTATTCATTGGCTCATCACTTAACTCATCAGGAAACAAATAATTCGGCGTCACTGCCGAGTTTGTTCTCCGACGCCTGCCATTTTCATTGGGTGTTTGTGTAGATGCCCTTGCACCGCTCCCAGTTGCAGTTGTCCCGTTGAAAATTGTGGTTAGCTCACGGTAGTGCACGCACACCCTTTTCCTCATGTCCTTGTCCTATGGATGACACTATTTTTCGAAAAGAGTGGACACATAATAAGTGAATGTTTATTACAGGGAATTCCAAACCAAAGATACTACAGCAACACATACAGTAACTATACAGTAACTATGACCAATAAATTGATATTAATTACAGAAACATAATAATAAAACTAATTTCATAATAACGCCCAAGTTGCAGTCATGTAAAAGCTTCATAACATAATTAAAACCAAAAAGGTTTGATTCAAATTAAACTAACAAACAGGATGAAACAAATGTACATGTTCAGTCACAAAAATAACCATTTCCAATTTCTGTTTATGAAGACTCATTTTTAAAATTCAACCCATCATAAAGTACACATACTAAGACCATAAAAACTTGGAAAAAAAATGGAACAAGTGCACTAACCGTGATCCACCGGGCCCAAAGTTCGTCACCGCCTGTGATCTTCCCAGTGGCAGATCCCAACCGAATCCCGTATCTTCATTAACCATATTGTAGAACTGACGCCAATGCTGCTTCAATCAATCATGCTTACTCGTGATTTGTGTTATCTCGTAATAATATTATGGACCACATATATCGTTCAGTTCTTTTTTGGATCTCCATCCAATTGCATTTTTTGAACTTCTGCTCGATGCAGTTCCCCAGGATAACTTGATCCAACATCAACGATATGAACCGAGCCTCATTCTCTGGAGGCCACTTTGCTTCTCCTTGTTTACTTTGCGAAGGGCCAGCTTCAGATGTGGACAATCTACAATTTTCATGAAGTACAGCTCCAAGATTGTATTGTTTACATGAAAATATTATTAGGGTGTAACATGACCACACCCCAAATATAAATCGAAAAAATGTCAGCATACATATCAAATTGAGCAACACACCAGCACCGAAATTGAAATCAGGCATATCACCCCAAACAAATCAAGTTGAACGAGACAGTAGCACCAGAATACAAATCACGCATTTCGCCCCTTCAAAATCAACTTCATGAACACAGTACAACCCGACACAGTTCATCGCAAAATAAAGAAAATTGATAAAAATAACCAGGTCGCCTTCAAATAATTACGAAAGAGTCATAAGAGTTTTGTAGTCCCTAATTTTTAAACACAATAAATACATGTGAAACACAAATTATCGGTTCCCAAGTTGTACGATATGTAATCCCTAATTTTCAATTATCGGTTCCCAAATAAACCAAATCGCATATACAAACTCTTTTTTCGAGTAATTCAAGGGAAAATTCACCGACTCGTATATATAGAAAAAAAGGTTGCGAGAAGAACACATTTAAACCGAACTAACCTTTCTTCTCCCTTTTTTTTTCTCGGGCGAGTTCACCGACACGCTGCCGGTGCTTTCGCTGTGCGGATCCCGCCTCTCCAGCGAAGCTTTAACGAAAAGGTGGATCGAAGTGGGCAGAGAAGGATTTGCACCGGAGCTCATGATTTTTTCAATCGGGAATGAAGGGTGATTTATTGAGGAAAGGGTCTTCATTTGTTTGAAGAACGAGAAGGGAGTAGGTGTTGCTTTTGTCATAAATGTTATATCAGTTTAATATTACAACTCAAAATAATTAATGGTGGACAAGAGCTGTTTGGAGTGGGCCCGCTTTTTCAACATGGTCAAGAGAAATATTCCATAAACAATCACCAAAAATCTAAAATCTTGAATTGTTTTAGTTTGGGAGAATTAATTCATAAACAAGCGTCCCTAAGTAATTGTTTTCCATTTTCTGGACAATACAGAATATAACGAGCTGTTCTTTCACATAAACCAAGGTCTCGATGATAATTAAGTAATTCATAATTAAAAGGACCGGATTTAATGTGTAATTACCAACTAAGTGCAAATAAATTAAAAAATTATAGTATAAATTAACCATCTTGGACTTGATGCTCATTGACTTATTAATTTCTCAAGTCTCAAATATATCAACTTGCCAACGTATATGTTTTATAGATTTTATAAACCACGAAGACTTATATTGTATGTTTAATTTGAAAGTCTTCAGAATTGTAAGTGTGTTTTTATGATTTACATTACATTAATCACCTTGAGATTATGAGGAATGCTATTGAGTCAATGGTTGACTTCTTTATAGAGCCAACTACCAATGTTATAGTGCCACGTAGGCCATGTGAAGTTAATTATTTTCTCACATGGCCTACGTGGCACTATAACATTGGTGGTTGGCTCCATAGCATTTCTTTGAGATTATACTCAAATTAAAAAATTTGTCTAGCTAAGATGTAATTATATCTTTTATTTTATTATGATCTCACTTGGCTCAATGGAGGAAAGGCCAAACCCCAAGATAACTAGTACTAAATTAAATATTCTAATCCACATAAAATCTCAATTTTCTAAATTATGGGGTTTGTTAAACTATTATTTGACACTAGTGCAATTACACGAATGTTGAATTAGAAAGTTTTGTAAGAAATATTAATTTTTTTTAAAAAAAAACTAAAATAATTTAATTTTATTACTTTGAGTTTTAATTAAATTGTCAAATTATATTTTTTTAATCATAATAATTAAACACCCTTACATTAAAAGAAAATGTCAACCCGTGTTGAATTTTTTTACTTATATCATTAAATAATATCAATATTATTTATTATTACATAAGTACAAAAATATATATCTTAAATAAATAGAAATAATATGGTGATATGTATATGCATAAGTGTAGAATAAGTTTATTTAATATTACGCAAAATAGATTAACTTTTTTACTTAATTAGATGTCTAATATATCAAAGGACGTATCAGTCGTGCTTCAAAGTTTTTTTTAACTTTATATGTAATTTTAGAATTTAGATAAATAATTATTTATTTTTATTATATTGACAACATACCAGTTAGATTTGAAATAAATATCATTTTTAAAAAGAATACATACCAATTTCTATTACTTTACAATATAATTTATAGTTTTATTTGATATACTTTAATTTAGTTTGATAAATAAATTTAAATTTTATTTATAAAGATATATATTACTGTTTTGTATTTTATATAAATCGAAAAGAAACAAAATCTGGTTAATTTGATATATTATATATATATAATCGATAAGAAATACAAAAGTTATCAATTTTTAAAGTAGTTTATGATAACTAAGTGTAGAAGGAAAGAAGAAAAAAGTCAATCATAGATTGGATTTAGTGTGATAAAAAATATTAATTTATATCCAAATTTAACTTCAAAACATGATTTTTTGTCAAATAAGATTCCAAAACATGAAAATTTGTCACGTAAGCTCGACACATTCTGAAATCTATATATATATATATAATAAGAATTAACATTTACCAAAAATAGTAGCAAAAAAATAGGTCAAAATTTAATGCAGCCTATAAATAGTAAGTTTCATTATTTTTCTTATTTTTTTCTTTAAAAATCATACAACATTAAATGCTACCTTAAATTTTGGGCTTTAGTTCATTTTATTATTTAAAAAATCCGGCAAAGATTTATTAAGTGTGTAAGTTTTTATTTTTATTTTTTTCTTAGAAACAACGAACAACATTAAAATCTCAATTCAAAATATAACAAAAACTTTAAAATCTCAGTCTTTATATTTGTGCCTTTAAAAAAAATATTGAATGCTAAAAATATTCTTTAAATTGAATAATCAATCAATTAATCTTAATTTTTTAAAAATTACTATGTTTATTTTGTATTAATATGCATAAAGTAAAAATAATTTATTCATCTTTAGATATATAATTTATAATCTTAATATACTATCATTTGGTGTAGACATTTATTATATGAATCATTATTACGTGAATGTGATGTAGTCCAAACTTCAAATAATCGTATTAACAATACTTTTATTACAACATGTTTAATGATTTATGAATATTTAGATATCATTTTATTAATATTTATGTGAATTAAATAATATTTTATTATAATATTTATCAATATACATTAAATATAAGGTTTTCAGAATTGGACCGTCATCGAAACGATCAACTTATTTTATTAAATCACTTGTGGTTTGTTCATATTTTAATTTATAAACATTTTAATATATATATATATAGTACTTTTTGTAATAAATTTAAATAAAATGTGTTACTTAGATATCTAAACAATTTATAAATTCAAATGTTTAAAGTAATTGATAAATAATTTATAAATCTCTATTTTATTTAAATATGTAATGTTATTTAAAATAATTTTAAATATAACAAAATTTATTTAGAAAATCGATCCTACCAGTCCAACCGACTGGTGTTGACGGATTCGAGAGCAAATATTTTATTCAAGCGAACTAGACTGGTTATAAATCGGTTCTCGGTCCATCCGGTCGGACTTTGTCCAACCCGGTTTAATTTAAAAACAATGGATAAATCATAATTAATGTTATTTATATATTTAATTTATAATACAATCGTAATATTGTTTTTCCGTGCATTGCACGGGCTACGCACTAGTTATATATAGTGAGATGTGACATATGTATTTTTCTTGCGACAATCTCATGATTATGCAAATTGATAATTTGTATATACTATATATAGTTGGTATATGAGTACTATTTGATTATTAATTTGGACTGTTAGAACTCTAACAAATATACTAAATTAATGTATCTATATACCTTAAACTGAATAATGAGCATCAATTTTTACTCGACGTTAATAATTATCATTTTTTGCATGCCCCAAAAGTTTATTTTTCTCTTGTTCTAATATATTCCCAAACCTTTTAATGTAGAAGATGTGAATAAATATACCCTATTTTCTGCTGTTCCTAAATTAAAATTGATAAAATGATAGTTTTGCACTTCAAATGAATCAAACTTCAGTGTATTGTATATACATAAGAAATTGACCGAGAATCAGATTCTTTCAAATGAATGTAAATTTTTTATTATATATAGTGCCCAATATAAATTTCCGATTGCTAAGTGAAATATTTTTTACATATGTACATATCAACACAAATGTAAACAGTGCATATTTAACACATGGTTGACATAATTATTATTGTTAACAAGCTAAATTTTCTATTTCACTTGCTATTTTATATCTTATATGTACAAACACAAAAAATGTTAGTCATTATTGTATTATACATGTGCAGAAAAATGTACATTATTATGTGCGTAGGACATCTTTAAACTATTTTATTGCTTAAAGAGCAATCCTTTATATATTGAACATGAAAATAAATTTCGAAAAATAAAATATAAATAAATAATTACTTACTTCTATTTTAAAAGGCTTTTAAGTTTCCAATAAAAACAGAGTTCAGAATGCTTATATCTACCCACCATGTTGCACAATCTACATCAGCCTTTAACCAGCTTATAATCGAGTTCGAATTTGACTCGTTTATCAATATTAACGAGCGGAGCTCGAGCCTTAAGAAACCAAAATTGAGCCGAACAATAGTAAAATACATAAAAATCATGCTTTCAAGCCTTAACGAGTTTTAAATGAGATCGAGCTCGACTCCTTTATCAAACGAACCAAAGCAAGTTGAGACTGAGCTACGAGCTGCTCGTTTAATTTAACAACTCTAGTTACAACCACGTCACACATGCAATTTTTTTTCATCTTTTGCTACAAATTAAGAACAATTTCGAAAAAATGAAAATTACATTTAAGATACTAAAGATAGGAACTTTATTGAATGGTAGCTTATACACAGGACAACATAGGGACAGACATAACCTTTATGACAAAAAAAATTATTGTTAATAAAGGAACACATTAATACTACTTACAAACACAAAATCTTATTGCATCTCAAACAATAAATTGCAATTAATAAACAAGTTTAAACAATTAAACCAAACAATATATGGCTTAAGTATGAAGATTTATGCATCATCACGTGTAGGCCTAGATTGTGTTGGCTGACGGGGATATTCACATTAGTATATGTGGTCATAGGACCAACTCATGAGGTTTTTGTACAGTTAAAATTAGGGTTAATTTGTGCGGTTATATTTTTTTTACTTGTTGGGTGAATAGGAAGTTCCTATATTTATCGAGAACGTAGGAAGTTGGGAAATTAGATTTAAAGGGGTAGATTATGATACTCGAGCCACCGTATGAGATAATTGGGAAATTTTAAAAAGACTTAAACTCGTAAAAGTCATATCTACCTTCTATTCTAACTTGATCAGACAATCTTTAGTCTTTATCTATATTCTAGTATAGAGTTTACTCTATTCTAGAGTTTACTCTACTTTAGAGTAGAGTTAAACAAAAATCAAATTTAGTCTCCAACCTTTCGCGCTACATTCTACTCCACATATATTATTCATATTATTTTAATTTATCTAACATGTTAAAATATTATTTAATTGGACATATTATTTTTATAAAATAAATATACCAGGATCTTAGTTGGCTACTACAAGAGTGAAATATTGTTGGACAAATAATAATTATTATTTTATATTGTTTAATTTATTTTGTAGGAATTCAATATAAATATAAATTTTTAAAAATAGTATTTTCATGTAATTCTAAAATTAAATTATAAATACGGTACAAATTTTGTCAAATAATAATGTTTAAGATAAATCAATTACATATAATATAAAAAAATAAAAAACAAATAAAAATTGTAGAGTAATGAATAGTACCGTGCCAGATGTAACGCGATACTGTTCATAACTTTAGAGTAGTGCAAAAATGTAGTGCAACGTTGGTGAACAATTTTGTCTCTACTCTAGCGTATTACGCTAGAGTAGCAGCATTGGAGCTGCTCTCAGAATTTTAAGACTGAGCGCGCGTGCTCGACATGGCGTAATAATGAAATGAGCGACGTAATGAAAAGTTTTTCAGAAAGTGCGTGAGTGTTAAGAGCGCACTGAAAAATCTAAATGACACTCGGAGTATTACAATAAAAATTATGCATATATATTTATGTGGTAAATATTTATTATCAAAGACAATATTATTAACAATTCGATATTTAAAAATTAATTATTTGATTCAATAATTGACTCGGTTACCGATGGCTGAATCGGGGGTCATGCATCGGTTTAAAAGCTATGAAAAAAAATTTATATCCCCTTATATCTAATTATTGAATGTGTTAAGCTAAAGTGATAGACTCGCATGCTTCGTGGTCTTATGTGACAAAATTTCATGCTTCATTTTTGACTTGGATATATTTTAATTCACTTTCAATCCACAAATAATTAGGTCTGAATTATTCATAGATATGTTGATTATTTATGGTCATTTTAGATGTATTAATTGAATTTTAATATCATTTCCTATTATAACCATTGAATTCTAACTGTATTTTAACAGCTAATATTTTTTTATTTTAATATGAGTTTTATATATATAATATATCAAATTAATCACTTGTTGATGAAATTCGAATTTACATTTATATTGTATTTATAAAATAAATAAATTATATATATTTTTATAAAAATAATAAAATTATTTATTAATATTAATTAGAAAATAATTTTTTTTATCAATTTATATATTTTTATAGTAGTTATTTGATATAAGTTAAAAAAATTATTATAATATAATACAAGTTGCCTATCATTCTATAATATAAAATACTATATTTTTTTAAAAAAAAAGTATTTAAATTTTAAAACACTTTTCTCATTGATTTCTCATTAATACACCGAATTTTTACTAGTATTCTCATATAACGGATAAAACTATTCGTAAGCCAATTTACAATGCAACTAGTGCAGAGCCCGTGCGATGCACGGGGTTGATAATTTTAAGACTATTTACTCAACTTTATTATTATATTTGTGATAAAGAAAAATAAATAATTATTATAAAAAAATAATATTATATATTATTAAAAGTCTTCTTGTAAACAACAATTTCTGTTTTGTAGCCACACCATCCTCCCTGCGATCAATATTTTCAATATTTTTCTATTAGTGGCACGAGAAACAAACAGATATATACAACTGGTCGTGACTGGACACCGATTTCTTGAAAAACATGCTAACATGTGATAAAGATTGACCCTTACTTTTGTTAATCAAATCGAATCTCGTGAACACCATGATCAGCAATTAGCTTGGTAACATTTTTCGAAGTAGCTAGTTGGTTATTAAGTTACATATTGACACATATTTAAATATACACGTGTTTGTTAAATGTAAAATAGATATTATAAATAGAATAATTAAATAAATTAAAAAATTATAATTTAACATCGTGTTAAATTATAAATGTATTTGGTAAACAGAAAAATATGTATTTTAAATATATTATATTATAATTAATAAAACATAAATTATTAACAAAAAGAAGTATCGACCATAGTATTCTCAATATTTTTCTTTCATTAATATTGAGTATAATTAATCAAACATTTATGTATATATATATATATAGATATATATATATATAGAGAGAGAGTGAGAGAGAGAGAGAGAGAGAGATTTTTTAGCAACAATTATAGTGTAATCGAACTCGAATTAGTCCAATTCAAGTCGAATTAGTACAATCTCGGTCAAATTAGTACAATTTCTGTCAATTATAGGGTAATCGACCTCGAATTAGTCCAATTGAAGTCAAATTAGTACAATCTCGGTCAATTATAGTATAATCGAACTCGAATTAGTCCAATTAAAGTCGAATTAGTACAATCTCGGTCAATTATAGTGTAATCGACCTCGAATTAGTCGAATTAGTACAATCTCGGTCAATTATAGTGTAATCGAATTCGAATTAGTCCAATTGAAGTCGAATTAGTACAATCTCAGTCAATTATAGTGTAATCGAACTCGAATTAGTCCAATTAAAATCGAATTAGTACAATCTCGGTCAAATTAGTACAATTTCGGTTAATTATAGTGTAATCGACCTCGAATTGGTCCAATTGAAGTCAAATTAGTACAATCTCGGTCAATTATAGTGTAATCGACCTCGAATTACTCCAATTGAAGTCAAATTAGTACAATCTCGGTCAAATTAGTACAATCTCGGTCAATTATAGTGTAATCGAACTCGAATTAGTCCAATTAAAGTCGAATTAGTACAATCTCGGTCAAATTAGTACAATTTCGGTCAATTATAGTGTAATCGACCTCGAATTAGTCCAATTGAAGTCAAATTAGTACAATCTCGGTCTATTATAGTGTAATCGACCTCGAATTACTCCAATTGAAGTCAATTTAGTACAATCTCGGTCAAATTAGTACAATCTCGATCAATTATAGTGTAATCGACCTCGAATTAGTCCAATTGAAGTCAAATTAGTACAATTTCGGTCAATTATAGTGTAATCGAACTCGAATTACTCCAATTGAAGTCAAATTAGTACAATCTCGCCATCTCGGTCAAATTAATACAATCTCGATCAATTATAGTGTAATCGACCTTGAATTTGTCCAATTGAAGTCGAATTAGTACAATCTCAGTCAATTATAGTGTAATCGAACTCGAATTATTCCAATTGAAGTCGAATTAGTACAATCTCGGTCAATTATAGTGTAATCGACCTCGAATTATCAATTGAAGTCGAATTAGTACAATCTTGGTCAATTATAGTGTAATCGAATTCGAATTAGTCCAATTGAAGTCGAATTAGTACAATCTCGGCCAATTATAGTGTAATCGAACTCGAATTAGTTCAATTAAAATGGAATTAGTACAATCTCGGTTAATTATTGTGTAATCGCCCGTTATCTTTTAAAAAACAAAAAATTAAAATAAAAATTAAAAACAGATTTTCAAAATCCGTTTTTAAGTTTTTTTTTTTTTAAAAAAAAATTATATAT